AGGCAGTTGCAGAGAGCGATGAGGGCTCCCCTCAGCCTCCTCTTCTCCAGGCTGAGCCCCCCCAGCTCCCCCAGCCGCTCCTCCCCAGCCTTGGGCTCCAGCCCCTGCCCCAGCCTCGCTGCCCTGCTCTGGCCACGCTCCAGCCCCTCCATGGCCTTCTTGGGGTGAGGGGCCCAAAACTGGACACAGCACTCCAGATGTGGCCTCACCAGGGCAGAGTAGAGGGGGAGGATAACCTCCCTCGACCTGCTGGCCACATTCTTCCTAATGCATCCCGGGATACCATTGGCCTTCTTGGCCGCAAGGGTACATTGCTGGCTCGTGGTTAACTTGCTGTCCACCAGGACTCCCAGGTCCTTCTCTGCAGAGTTGCTTTCCAGCAGGTCAAGCCCTAACCTGTACTGGTGCATGGGGTTATTCCTCCCTAGGTGCAGGACCCTACACTTGCCTTTGTTGAACTTCATGAGGTTCCTCTCTGCCCAACTCCCTAACTTGTCCAGGTCTTGCTGAATGGCAGCACAGCCTTCTGGTGTACCAGCCACTCCTCCCAGTTTTGTATCGTCATCACACCAGGGGACCACGTGAAGCGCGGACAAGAAAACATCCCTGTGCCGCCTTGGCATTTTTCCTCACTTATCTGCAATCAGCCACCCTTCAAGACTGGACCCAGTGCTATGCGGACCCGAGCTCTGACATCCCGTGGCAATTCCCATGGCACAGCACAAGCATATGTTACTCATCATGCCGGAGGGTTTTGCGCTGACCTTCATTCTCAATGTAGTTTCTTTTCCCAAATGCAGCTTCTGGTAGCTTTTTCTTCAAGTCGGACACACCCATGACATGGTTAATGTCCAGGTTGGGAGGCCTGTGGGGATAAAGCAGCAGACGGTGAGATCACAAGCATAAAAAGCTCTCAGGATTAAGCACAGCAAAGAGTCCTTGTTGCCCTGTCACTGTGAAACCAGAGAAAGCAGCTCTGGAGAAGGCTGGAGAAGGAGCAGCTTGCTGAGCACTTTCCTGATTTGAGGATCCTGACTGTAAACACCTCCAAACACTGACATTGGTGGCTGTGTTACTGGCTTACACTGGCCGTTTCAAATTGCTGCCTGCTAGTTGGCTTCTGACTGCTGAAGATTTTAAACATCTCATTTTTTTGAATGCTAGTTACCTCAGTACTTTATTTACCATCGTGCTGATCTGTAAACACAACTGGCTGATTGTACACGCGCCATCCAGAAGCCCACTTCCCACAAGGACAAAAATCCCAAGCAGGAATAACTCATTTGGAATAAACATCCCAAAGCAGTTAACAAAAAGAGATAACAAAATACAGCTGTTTCCAGCTGCAGTTCAGGGCCTGATCTCATGTCCTCATCCAGCTGTTGCTGTGACGCTGCACCACTGGCTGCCCAACACCACTTTCCTGATGCTGATGACCACCCCAACAGTGCAGGTGGGAAGTTGGTACGGCCACAAGAAGCTGCTGATCACTGAAGGGATGGGGCAGGAGAGGCAAAACTGGCTTTCGCTGGTACACAGACACCCAAAAGTGTAATGCTTCACACTCCACAAATTGCACAGAAAGAAAAGAAAGGGGCAACTTACAGCTGGGCTGGAATCGTGGAGCTGTATGGGGTCCTCAGGGCGATGTTGCACAAAAGCTGGCCCCGGATGGAGAGCTGCCCCCTCCATGGACAGTACAACGCTACAGGCAAAAGGGAGAACGGCTCAGAGAAAGCAGGAGAGGAGAGGAGGGCAAACAAAGAAAGGTATATTTATAAAACAAAAACAACCCCCAGATGCTCCTACCTTTGTGGTTAAGCTGAGGTCTAGAGAAAAGAGAGAAAAAGAGGAACATTTAGCAACGGGAAAACAGCCCACAAAACCGACCGGGTACTTTGGAACGACAACAAGTTGCTTACAGGCTCTCTATAGCTAAGACGGGCATTTCCTTCGGCTCCCTGTACTGGCAGGCGATGACTATGTACGGGCAGATCTGCCTGGGCCGCTCTGCAGTGCTGCCATCGGACACTTCATACACATAATACTGGGGTGAGAAGGGAAACACAGATGAAAAAAAAACACATTGAGGAACAAGCGAGGGACCCGGGCCAGCGCTGTGCTCCCCTGCGGCCCGCAAGTGAGCTGTCTGCACAGTCCTGTTGCAAACTTATACCTGGCTCTGCTCGAAGGCCTGGCAGTGGCTGGTCTTTGATGTTATGTTGTTTCTGCTCATGGCGACGTGGCAGTCGTAGCCGGGAGATGGGCAGGTATAGCTGGTTGTGTAATTCTCAGATACCACCTTGACCTTCCCCTGTGCCAGAAAATTTACCAAATACACATAATTGTTTGCAGAAACTTATTGTAAAAGACCCTTGAATCCTTCTTTTCCCCAAAGACAGTGTTGCTGGCAGCCCCACACTCCCCACTGTGAGGGGGCTGTGTGCATTCGCATCCTTCCAAAAAAGAGGGCCTGACTTGGCCCAGCTCGGGACGGCAGACAGACCAGTGCTGCTCAGGAGAGCCAACAGAAGCAGCGTTGGCTCTCCATTCCAGCTACAGAGAGCAGGAGCCCGTGGGAAGGGGAGAAAGGTACCACACAGCAGCCCCACGGAGGAAGGGAATGGGTCTGTGAACTTGGCCACTTTAAGGTCACCCCCTCAAACCCCGCAAATGCATGAGAGTCCAGGGAAAAAGGTGACCCTGAGGGGAATTTCTGATCTCAGCGGTGGAATTTGGAAGGTCCGCTGCATCCTCTGCCCCCCTGCAGGCCACTGGGGAAGCCCAGTCTGATCTCTGGCTTTCTGGTCTGACACATCCCATAGTCAAAAACCCCGATGAGCTCTCAGAGCTGATTTTACACCCCACCCCACCACAGCTGTGGGCACCAGTGTCGCCTTAAAAACTGCTTGCACTGTGCAGTGGCTTCTGAAAACCATTCCACATAAAAAGAAAGACTTGTATTTTACCTTAATTAGCTTACAAATGACAATATAGCCTGATTTTCCGTGATACCAGGGTCTCGGATGAAGACAGTCTGCATACTTGGAAATATAAACCCCTGGGAAAACAAAGCAATGCAAGATAACATGAATCGTCTGTCGAGCAAAGCTGATTGCCAAAAAAACCCTGTAAAGAGGACTCTGCCTTGCAGGAACGGGAGTCTCTGCAGAGCCAGTGCTGCAAACCACAGTAGCACCTGGCTGCCATAAAAAGGGTGAAACTGACTCTTTTCCTTTTTTTGACTGCTGGTATGGAACAGCATTATATGTTTCAGCATCAGCTCTAGGAAAGGAGTTAACTTGGGTTTCTCCTGGGAGCTAACGTCAGTTTTGCCCACGCTACATGAAAATGTACCGAGCGAGGGCTTGTCTCTTACAGGAAGATCTGGTGAAGGGCTTCCAGGTCAGATCGCAAGCGGGGCAGGGACTTTGCTCAATTTGGAGTCACGCAAAGACAACGTGGGTGTTTATACGTGGGGAACGCACGCCGCAAGAGAGCAGGCCCGTGGCATGGCATAGACCCTCCCAGGCCCCTTTCCTTGGCTTTTTATGGCCCTTCAGCATCCCAGATGCCAACGTGAACCTTCTACCCTGTGACATGGCTTATTCCCATTCCTTCTCCATGCGCAGGGTATATCATATGTGGATTTATTGAGGTGGGGGATATTGGCTCTTCACTCTTGCTTTATATTTGTAGACAAGATGGGTAGAGAAGTATGTGGGGGGAAACAGGGACTGGGCAGGGGAAGGGCTACAAAGAGACACACCATAATATTAATCTCAGTCCATCAGGACTAAGATATATTCCCAGATAAATAACCAGTTCTTGCTTGTTTTTGCATTCACTGCCATTGACTGTTCAATAATTAGGTATCTTGGCCTGCAAAGACTTGCGGGATGAGCACTGGGAGACGTTCTGCTACTGGCAGAAGGATTTCTTTGAGTAACGCGTCCTGCACTGCATGTCTTGAGGCCCCAGACCTTTGGGCAGGGAACAAGCACAGACTGAAAAGGGCTTCGACACGTCACGATCTGCTCTAGTTATTAACAAGACCGCTTACAAAAGCTCAGCAACGGACTCTGAAGAGCAAACCGGTGGGGAGAGCTGCCAAAAAGCCACTTTGGTGACAAAAGCTGTAATTAACAAGGGAAAAAAAAAACCCTGAAATGGAAAGGTGAAGAGACAAAAACTTTCCCTGAGGAAGATCCCATCCTCATCTGGTTGAGTGGGCAGAAGGAAAACGCTGCTGCTTGCTTGATCCAAACAAATGCAGTTTCCCATTTAAGAAACTCGGGACTTTCCGTGGATCTTTGCAGTAAATAACAAGGCAGTACCAGGAGTTTGTCTTGGCTTTTCCTTTTGTTTTTAAAGGAGTTGATACCCCCAGAACAGCGAACAGGTCTCTTGGTCCTCTGAATGGAAATCTTACCTTTTGCTGGGTCACCAAGCGTGGAAATAGAACTGCTGTTTACACGGAGGCCTGTCTGACACACCTCTTTTGCCTTCAAAAGAAGAGACAGCCTCTTTTACCATCTATTTTCAAAGACAAGGGACACAGCTACCGAAATCTGTAGCGCAACAGTTGGCAAAATATTTGCAACAGGCTGCAACAACACGTGCAACAAACACGTGCTGCAAGTCACTTACAGATCTTTACAGTCCCAAAACACCCACGGTATAAAGAAAACTAAACACAGTGTCCACAGGAAGAACCAACAGGAAGAAAATTTGTTGTTTCAGATACTAAATACTTGTATTTATCAAGCGTTGTTACAAAAACCTCTGTGGAAGCAAAAGCTTAGAAAAATCTGGAAAAAATCCAGCTTCTCCAGAAACAACTGCAAGCACAAGGCTGAACTTTGCACTTTCTTTATCTGCAGGGACAACTTGTGGAAAAATAAATGCAATGGGGCTGGCACAAAGGCAAAGGACGTTTGCTACTCTGTGCTTACTCCTCCATAGGCACAATTACTGCCTTGGGCGCATCTCACCGCCTTTGATTTAATCCATGTCCAAAGCAGATTCATCAAAGCGTGCAAAGACCAAATGTATATTGACCAAAGAGTGACAACAGGAGCAGTTTCAACTCATTAGGGGTGAGAAATAAAAGCAAACCAGTCAAAGGTACTCAGTCCCTTCGACTCATGAGCAACATGGGGGACTCATCTCACCTAACTTCTGCCTTCTAAAAGGCAAGTGTCTAGCTTAGACCAGTCAGCTAGACCTCTCCTCTCAACAGTGGAGAGAGGCACCTCCAGAGAGCGATTTAGCCCGAGGATTTTAGATGCCCGTGTTAAATGAGGTCCAACTGTCCTCTGGAGAGCTCCCTCTTTCCTAGGGTCTGTACAAGGAGCCCAGTCACTTGGCACAGACTATGCTAAATTTCAAATAGCTAAAATGAAGCGGGACAATTCCTGCTCCCAAACTGAGACTGAAAGTGGTTTATTTTGCTGTAGCTCCGTCCAAACTGAACAGAACTAAACTGCATTCAGGCCACTCTCATCCTGAACAAAACCATCCCTAGAGTGATTTAGCATGGCACCATTAAATCACGTGAAAAGTGAATTCCCGCTAGGTTCCCTGAGCATCCTTGTGTAGACAAACTCTTTTCACAAAATCAAAAAGGTCTTTGTGAAAAATGGGCAGGAATAACTATCTCCCAATAGCTGTGTCAGGCTCTCCCTCCACCTAGCTGGCAAAACCAAGTGAACTTGCCCAAAACCACCTAACAAACTCCTGTCTTCTGTCACAAAGGTGTTTTTCTCTTCTAAGCATACGTGAAAGGTTTCACCTGCCTGTACTCAACCATAAATCCACTGGGACAAAGGGAGACTCCTTCTGTCTCCCTGCAGAGGGCAAAGGAGGCAGCCAAATCTCAAACAGTAATCAACTGGAGAGATGCAAAATAAGATCCATCCCTAAAACCTCCCAGAAGCTGCTTTCAGAATCTGTTCTGAACTATTTATACAGTAGTAATTGCACTGGTAACAGGAGAGTCAGGACACTTCTGTCAATAAATCTGCCGGGTTTGGTGGGACGGAGCACATGTGCAGGCACTTGGCATCAAACTTCTTAAGCTGAATAAACATTTCAGATTACCTCTTCTTCATTATCAAACAGGAGAAATGCAAAGGTCTCCTCCAGCTCCTCCTGGCTGTACCCAGCGGCTTCCTTAGCTTGGGCAAAAGCTTTGAGCTGCAGAAGACACAACAACACTTTGTTCTAGTCCGTTCAGGCCAGAGCCAAGTGACACGTGGTGGTGGTGTGAGGACAGCGTGTCCCGCGTACCGCCAGTCGTGGTCAGTATGGGGCAGCAGCCAGGTGATGCTGGACCAGCTCACATGCCCACACATCATTCCCTCCCCCAGGCATGTGTACACCCAGTCTCCCACCACGCATCTGCAATCTCCCATCATGCAAGGCCCCCAGTCCATGCATCTGTCTGTCTGTCTGTCCGTCCGTCTCTGCCTTTGTCCCCAGCAGAACATATTCAGTGTCCTCCAAGGAAGAGCAGGCCCACAGTGGCACGCTGTGCTCATCCCAGGGAAGTCCAGCCTTATTCCACCTTGCCCCTCTTGCCACACATCATCGGCTACTGGGGAGCTTGTTTCACCGAGCAGCATGTGGGCTGGTGGAGCATCTCATTTAGTAGCCAGCTATGGCCATCAGAAGACAAATCATCTCAGCCATGGAGAATATGCCTACAGAAGGGGAGATGCTTGGAGGCACCTTTTTTTTTTCTCTCTCCACTGACCACGGAAGCCTAAACTATTTGACTAGAGGGCGGGTGCTATCATGTGATTACAGTTCAGAGGGTTTGGCTACAGCCAAATAACACATTACTCCGATTTCTTTTGTCTGATAATTAAAGCAGAGCATGTTCTCAGTGCAGACGGGGAGAACATCACGGGAGCAAACAGAGCTGGGTCCGAGTCCATGATGTTTTGGGGCTTTAATAAAAGAAGTTGTAGAAGGATGAGATTTTTTAAACGGGGTTAAAAGATAAGAAAACAACAGTCTCATCACTGCTTTTGCTTATTTTGGCTTTAGAACTCACAGGCAAATCAACAAATTACTTGATACCTGTTTCCCAGCTTTTTATCCAGCTGCACAGTGACTATCCCAGATTTCGGCAGCCAAAATGTCTAAGCTCTATTTAATTCATGACAACAAGCAGACTGGTCATCTCCACTCCCCAGAGGAGACAGCCTGTCTTCCATGCCAATGACAGTGGGACTGTAGAGGCGTTTTAAAAGTGGTTCTGTACATGCCCCAGTCAGCTGGAGAAAGGGAAAATGGGGTTAAAACTGGTGCCTGCACGGGTGTGAGGGCAGACAAAAGAAATACCACACGGAAATCTGCCTTGCTGTGAATCAGCAGAAGTGCAAAAATTAAAGCTCTCCTGCCAGGTATCAAGCCAGCATTTCAACCTGCCCCGAAGGCCTGCCCCAGGCACTGCTGCTGAATGTTTGGCAATGTTGGCTGAATGGACCTTTTGTTCCTGATCAGATTGGGAAGGAAGAAGTGCAAGAAAGCAAAGAAAAGGTTCCCTTCAGTCAGGAACTGCAAATGGGGCTCTAGAAGGCAGGCAGGTCAGCCACATGCTGCCAAGGAAAGACCTGCCAATAAACCAGCATTTACAGATGTCTGCAGCTCCCGAAGAAACGTCACCATTTCCTGAGCTGCCAGCAACACCTTCCTCCCCCACCAGCCTTACCTCACTTAGGAAAACATCATTTTCCACCAGAATTGCTTGGCTGTACTGAAAACCGTCTTGAGCTGTGGAGTCCAAGTAGGAGCTCTGTAGCACTGAAACCGCTGTCTGCAAAAGGGAACTCGACTCTTCCGATTCTGGATGAAAACCTGGAGGAAAAAAGCAAAAAGCAGGTGCAAATATTAACTCTGGGCATCCCCAGTTAAGTACGGGGCCTCAGCAGAGGCGGGTGGCAGCTGAGTCTGACTCTGACTCACCGCACATGGGCCTCACTTATCAAGCCCAGATCTCCAGGGAGCAGAGCTCCAAGGCTCCCACTGGGAGCAGCAGCTCCCCTCCAGCCATGCAACCCCCAAGTCTTTATTTGCAAGTGAAATTGCCCTTCCACAGGAGGAATCCAAGCTTCCTGTTTGTCAGTGGGCCCTAAAAGTTTTTCCTTTGCCACAGAAAAAGAAGAAATGGTTAGCAACTGCTAGAAGCAAAGCCTGGTGGTGAATTAACTTTACACTCTCTGAGCAGGTCAGAGTTCTTTCTTGTGCTAAAAAGTTACTTCAATTTGTTGCATGCTCTTTTAGGGTGTGAGAGCTGATGTCTGCACACAGGGAACATCTCGGTGGATGCTCGGTTTCTCAGGGTTATCTGTTTTACTGTAAAGACCTTCAGGTCTTGAGCGAATGAGGTTTTCAACACCACGAGAGCAAACCTTCAAAGCCTCAATGGGCAGAGTTCTCTCAAAGCCCAAATTCTCTCAACATCTCCAAAGGAAAACATCCCAGTAAAACACTTCCCAACAGCATCCCACCAAGACAAGGTCCCAAAGCAGTTGACAAATTAAATACTGACACAGAAACAAAGGAAAGCCCTGCAGTATTTGTGCTCTTGCAGCTGTTAAAACCCAAATATTAAATAAAGCAGCCACTTAGAAACACAAGAAATCCTGGGCTCAGTCTCTGTTGCACATTTAAAAACCATTATTACTGGTGGTGATTCATGAGCTATGAGATTTCAAGCCCCAAGCTGAGTTTGCAACATAGACACATCAAAAAGGTTTCTTTCTTCTGTCCCATAAGCTTTAGAAAAATAAAGCAGTCATCTGTAAGGAAAGAAATACAGAACCGTCGAACCCCACCTGAGGAGCAGGTTTTGCATGCTTTTTTTTTTAAGAAAAACCTCACCGAAACTTTTGAGGACAAATAGGCAAGTTCTCATTTTACCCTCTAAAGCAGAAAGACCCGCATTCCTCTGGTGACGAGCAAGATAGCATCTGTTGTCACCCTGCAACCTACTTGGTGTTTTCACTCCTAATTTTACAGGAGAAGTTTTAATCGTTTTTTTATTTTCCTCCTCTCAGTTAAAAAGAAGAAGAAAAGACAGAGTCATTCCCTGTGTCACCAATCTTGTTACTCCTCTCAAATTACTCAAGGCCAAAAAAGGACCTAATACAAGGAACAGGAAAATTAACAGTTCAAATTGCGTGTATTAAACTCATTTAGCTACACTGCTCTAAGCCAGTTCAGCCAGTCTGCGCTACAGGGCTTAACAGGGGAAGGGAGACGGTGTCCACATTATGCCAAGCAAAAGAAAATCCGGACAAGGCAAAAAGTGGGGGGAAACAGTACAAAAACGGCTCTAAAAATGGTTCTAAGAAAAGCACGTAGAGGGCAGGTGGGAATGGAAATTGGGAGCACAGAAAGGGAAGTCTTCAAAAGCACTTTTGCCTCCCAACGCTGCTCTGGGGCCTTTGGAGCCCTCCTGTATTCGCTTTCTAAACCTCCCACGTTCAGGTGATGCCTCTGTCATCATTAGGAGCAGTAAAAAAAGCAGGTGAACACAACTTGGCTCTCGAGCACAGAAAAATGAAAAATAAAGAGGTCTTCCAGCTCTCTCTCAATTGTTTTCTCTCTTTGAACCTAATGGGAAGGGAAGTTGTTTGCTCACTTTTTTCCTTACTTGTCTTTCATTTTGCTTCGTGTCTCTTGCATCCTGTGGATCTCAAAGAAGCAGTCAGGGAGCTCAGATTCCTCCAAGGAAATCAGGTCGGGGAATTACATCCCAGCTCACAGCTCTGCTCAAAGGCTTGGACCAAACATAACATCCCTTTTTGCTGGAACACCATAACCCTCCAAGTCATCCTCCAAGGAGAGACAGCCCTGTCCTCAGCATCTTCTCCACCAGCCTAAACAAGCTCAGCTCCCTCGATCGCTCCTTACATTCCAAAAGCCCAGGACTGCAGCAGGTGCTATTTAATTTCACAGCTGCTGCTCCAAACCATCTCACTTTTCAGGGTGCGATATTCTGCTCCTCCTACCCATAGCATCTTGCAGCTCCGCATCATCGACAAGTTTGGAGTCTTGGAGCATAAGAAAGGCCGCATCTAAACGTGTGAGCTGGGAACCAGTCGTGTGTTTCCACGCTGAGTATGCGAGCCACCGAGTTGACAAAGAGAGATTACAGGGTTAAAAACCCCACCAGGCACAGAACACATATTGAGGGTGCGGGGTGTTAAATCAGAAAAAGCATTAGATATTCAGTATCTTTCAGGGGTAAAAGCTACAGGCTTTAAAAAAAAAATAAATAAAAGGCTGGGAAGCTCTTGGAAATGCAACATCAAGAGCAGTGTTGCAGGTGATAACTCAAACATTTGTTCCTCCCTGCAAGTTCAGCTGCAGTGTAAAAATGAAAGTCCAAAAGGCAAAAAAAAAAAAAAAAAAGTGCCGTAGGAATACATCAATACATGTGATGAAACAATCCTAGAGTGTGGCACTGAGCCTGGCAGCTTGCTGTGACCCTCGTCTCCCCTTTCAGATTTAAGAGGCTCCTTCAGATCTGTTCCCACCCTAAGGAAGAGTCTGAGCTCACAGAAATACACCCAAAACCCTGACACATCCAGGTTTCATTGGCGGGAGCAGAAGGCCCTTGACAGTTTCTGCGCAGGCTGTGAGGAGGCAAAAGTGAAAGTGCCTAAACCAGAAGCAAAAGTGAAAGTGTCCGTTCCCCTCTGAGCAGCTTGGACGTGCCACTACCACCACGCAGCATCCTCAGGGAACGGGACCAACTTCTCGCACGGGGTCAGAGCGATGCATCACAGGACCGACGGCTGGAGGAGAGCTGGAGAAACCCAGCACAGCTCTGCACCAGCACAGCCCAGCTGAACCCACAGTGGGTGTTATCCGTGCCCCGAAATCCTTGGGGAGGGGATTCACAGCCTGTCCTGGTGATTTCCTACCCTGACAGCAAGGGAGAAACAACAGTCACCTAGGCTGCTATTAACATCAGTTGCCAACACTGCAAGTAAGGCTGATCTTTCCCTCGTGCTGTGGCTGTGCAGAAGTCATCCTCCAAGAGCCTTGCATTCCTTGGACGGCTGCTAACCTACTCCTTCCTCCTCCTTTTCTAGACTTAAAGCCAGCTCCTTTGACCTTTCCTCCCTGCTCATGCCTGCAAATGTCTCAACGTGTCCTGTCCTGTCCTCTGCAAAGTGTTGGCTAAAGCCAGCCTGAGCGGACGTGCTCCTCCTGCAGACATGCGTGGCCCGTACGCCTCCCGGGAGCTGCACGCCTTTGCTCCCCTTCCCAATTCACGGCTCCTGCAGGTGCTGGATGCCCCAGCCGAGGCCAAGAGACACGTACTTCCCCAAAACAGGATCTTCTTTTGCCTCATCCATTTTCATGTGACCTCTGGATGGCCTCACCACGCAGAGAAGTCAGCCCAGGGAGAAAACCCACGGCGTTCGAACCACTTACTTGTACAGACTTGTACAGAGACAAAGGTTTGCTTTTCTTCCTGGTCTCTTTTTAAGCTTAAAATGTTAGTAGCACTTGCTGCAGACACTTGAATGCTGTCAAATCTCCAAAAGTCTGCAACCCAGCTTGATCAACGCACACTGAACACGGACACTCTGCTCACCTACGGGGCTTTCAACCTGTCCTCAGCACAGCTGCTCCTGCACGGTCTCTTCCCACAGCCCTTCTCCATCTTGCCCCTCTTCAAGAAGGACTTCCTCCATTTTCCTGGCTTGGTCCCATCGTTAGTACGAGCTGTAACAGCCAGCATCACTGGCAGCGTCAGTTCTGGCACCACCACACGCCACTTTGTACTGTCAACAGTTCATATATTGCCAGCTGCGACTCCTCAAGATCATCCTCCCAGCTTCTTCGGCTCTGCTGAAGTCCACTTTCTCTCTTCTTTTTATAATCTCCCATCCTGATTTTGCTGCTCTCACTCTTTAGTTTTACTTTCTAATCATTGCTAGCATGCAGTAATTATTATGACAATTATAGGAACTGTCCCTTTTAACTCTGCGTTATAAAATGCACGGTACTACGTGCTTGACCAGCTATTTGCCTGCAAACTTCTTTTAGCTACAGCCTGCTGATGGAGCAGCCAGGAGTCCTGAGACATCCTTGATAAGCTCAGCCAAAACCTCCTTGATGGGGAGCTGTTGGCAGGACAAAGAAATTGAGATAACGAACTGACCTTCCAGGAAAACAGAAGTCAGCACTAACTATTCTGGGAACTGATGTCCTGCGCCTACTTATGTCTCTACACCAAAAAGGTACAAAAAGTAACTCGCTACCTACCCAAAATGAGCTTCTCTGCAAGAATTTCCCTGTATGAGGTCTCCCAGACAGACCAGACCCTCGCCAGTGACATGGATCATCCTTGAAGTTAGACTTTTCCATCTCGGATTGGCCCCGCTCTTGGGAGCGGTTTGGCGAGTGTCACACCGGTGACACATACTATAACTGCACACATAGGTAAAGGTTCATTAAGTACATACTTGCTTCGCTAGCTGGAATTCTGTAATAACTTGTAATAGACATATATTTGCTTTACTCTTGTAATATATATATATATACACACACTTGCTTTCCTAGTGGTAATTTTGTAGTGACTTGTAGCATATATTTATATATGTATATATTTGGTTTTAGTAATAGTAGTTTTCTACTAATTTGTAGTAAAGAAATTCTCAGAAGCGCAGACTTTCACGTCCTTGCATATTGCAGAGTCCTGAGAACCCCACCACCACGATCTTTACCCACCTGAGAGTTGGGTCACCCACCCAAGTCGTGACCATGACCGCTACACCTGCGCAGCCCAACTTCTATAATGAGTCTTGGCTCATTACTGCTGAAGCACAGAAGTC